AAACTGAAGTTATATATCATACCCTTCCATAAAGAGATTGGTTAGAATCCAATGACTTCAACCTTCACCTTCCCCACACTTAGGCTAATGCCAGGATCCAGGGAAGACAGAAATTAAAACAGAAAAATTGACAATTTGTACACAAAACTCATCAGCAAAAAGTGAAGACTTGGCTTTAAATGGAACATTTTTCAACCATTAGAAATGAAAGGAACTATAGGTAAGTGCATTAAGATTTTTCATAGATAGATGAAAGGTTCAACCCCTCCATATCCACTCCTTGGGCTTTCAGCCCCTGTTATTCTTATAGTGCCTTGGAGCATTGCAATATCATTGTCCTGCACTTGAAGCTTGCCTGTTCCAGCCTAAGGCAGGAATCACATTGCAGAAGACACTCTTCCACAGGGAGAGAGGGGTGGGCCCTGATAGCTTAGTAGCCCATAACCAGAAAAAGGGGCAGTATAACGCAGCTTTTTCAGAATCAAAAAGCCCCTTTGTTTACAAGGCAGAACAGCAGTATCTCAGGCATTATACTCAGGGGGAAAGCACAAGAAAAGAAGCAGATTATCCAAATGCTGCCTGTTTTCCCGAGTTCTTTGCCCATTCTCAGGAACTCCAAGAACACAAGGCTCTTGTCAGCCTCATAGTACAAGGTATGGGAAAGACTCCAGGATGGAGCAGGACACCTGAGTCATAAAAAGGGAAAGAAGATTCTTGCAGGGTGATCTCCACCCTCATGGAGACATCAAGATCATTCAGGAGTAGGTAGGAGCAATTCTTCCAACATTTAGGGTTGAGACTCATTTTCCTTTCACTTAATAGATAGTTAGGTTCAGTTCAATGGAAGTTTTTTCACAGAGAGCAGGAAAGATTCCTCTTTGAAGTGACTGCTCCCCTCTTATTTCTCTCTGCCCCTTACATACTGTGCTTCTGCCTAAATGAACTATGTTCACATGCTGCTCTTTTCCATTAAAAACCTTCTTTTCTATCAAATTCATATTCACTTTTAAGGGTAATAAAATGACTTTTTATTAAATTTACAGTGAAATTATTGAATATTGAAAAGTTAAATCTTTCCAAGTCATACATCTAGTTCAACTCTGTATTTGAGCCACGTTGTTTTTTACTCTTTGTAAGAAGAGTATTCTTTGTTTATAAATTTTTCTATCATCTATTTTAGAATTTTCCAGCTTTCTCAAGAGCTAGGACTTTGGTAATATTGCAAACTGCAAGATATTATTATACTATCTTTTGTTCTGCATGTAGCAGCTTGTTTTCTGGGCTGTTTTTAAAATTAGATGGTCTGTACTGCAGCCTTAGGACCTTCACAACAGAAAGTGTTTTAAAACTTTAACCACTTTCTAATATGATGCAATTTTCCCCTGCAAATAAGATTTGTTGTTCTGTTGAGACTAATCTGAATTGTCCTCCCCCCTTTTTTTTACTGAATTTATTGAGGGGACATTGGTGAATAAAATTCTATAGGTTTCAGGTGTACAATTCTACACATCATCTGTATATTGTACTATGTGTTCACCACCAGAAGTCAAGTCTCCTTCCATCACCATTTATCCCTTCTTTACCTCTCACCATTCTCCTTTCCCTCTGGTAGTCATCATACTGTTGTCAGCATCTATGAGGTTTTGTGGGGTTTTTTTGCTTAATCTCTCCACCTTTTTCATCCAACTCCTCAAACTTTCACTCCTCTGACAGCTGTCAACCTTTTGTCTGTTTCTATGAGTCTGTTCCTATTTCATTTGTTAGTTTATTTTGTTCATTAGATTCCACATACAAGTGAAATCATATGTTACTTGTCTTTCTCTGACTAGCTTATTTCACTTGACACAATATATTCCAGGTCAATCTATGCTGTTGCAAAAGGCAAGATTTCCCCCCCTTTTTTTTTAACCACTGAGTAGTATTCCATTGTGTAAATGTACCACAGCTTCTTTATCCACTCAACTACTGATGAGCACTTGGGTTGCTTCCACATCTTGGCTATTGTAAATAATGCTTCAGTGAACATAAATGTGCACATATTCTTTCAAATTAATGTTTCCAATTTCTTTGAATATATTCCCAGAAGTAGAATTCTAGTAGTCACAAGGCATTCCATTTTTAATTTTTTGAGATAACTCCATGCTGCTTTCCACAGTGGCTGCACCAGTCTGCATTCCCACCAACAGTGCACAAAGGTTCCCTTTTTACTACGATGTTGCCAGAGCTTGTCCGTTGATTTATTGATGATAGCCCTTCTGACAGGTATGAGGTGATATCTCATTGTGGTCTTAATTGCATTTCTCTGATGATTAGTGGCGTTGAACATCTTTTCATATGTCTATGGGCTAACTGTATGCCCTTTTTGGAGAAGTGTCTATTTGGGTCTTTTGCCAATTTTTCAACTAGATTGTTTTTTGGGGGTGGGTGGGTGTTGGTGTTGAGTTGCGTAAGTTCTTCATAAATTTTGGGTATTAACCCCTTATAAGATGTATATCATTGGTGGATATGTTCTCCTGTTCAGCGTGTTGTATTTTCATTTTGTTGATGGTTTTCTTTGCTAGGGAAAATACTTTTTAGCCAAGGGAACCACCCATACTCATTACTATTTGGTTTGGGCATCACCTTTCTCTGGCATATTTTCTCTAAGTGTCATTTTGTTTTCTTCTTAATGTGTCCCCTTAGACTCTGTGCTTACCTGTGACATTCCACTGGTGACACATATTAATTTTTATGTTTTCTGGGACAGAGACTACTGGGGTGTGCTAGAGGACAACCAGGCTGACAGAGGATCAATGCTTTAAGGTAAATTCTCATGCTTTGCATGGCTGTGGGATCAGTATTTGCCAATAACTGATGCATTTTTTACAACAAAGTTTCAGATATTACTAATTTGGTTCTTATTGAGGCAGAATAGTTCAATGTTAGGAGAATTTTTGACAAGTTGGAAAAAAGAAACTGAGGCAGATTGTTAGACAAATGGGGCCAAACAATTTGAGCCACTGACAATCAGCAAGTAAATTGCAAGATCTTATCTTCCCTAACTAAGGACACTTGAGAGCAAATGGTTTACACCTCTCCTCCCTAAGCAGGAGTGAGTAGCTTAAATCACCCTGGTTGGGGAGCTAGAGGACAGAGACCCAATTAGTGCCATTAGTGCCACTTGTGCCAGCCAAACCCAAGTTAGGGGAATGAAGTTAGGGGAATAAATAACAACAACAAAAACAATTAGAGCCAAACAAATTCAAGATAGAGGTGAAACTGACCAGAAAATGACCCTGTGTTCCTCTATGTGCTTATTTTGGTACATCAAGATATTAAAGAACACACATTAAAGCTGATAAACATTCTGCTGAAAACCTCCCCTGAGACCTCCCCTAGGATTCCTGTCCACAAAAGAGAGATAAAAACTCTTAAGACAAAGGATGCCCTCATAGGACTCCCTCTGGAGCAGGCCCACACCTTTCTTCCCTCTTTCCCAGCCATGTAATTCTCCTCTCTTTCTCCTAAGCCCTAATGATCCTGGCAAGACTTGATGCAACCAGGGAAGCAGCAAGCAGTGGCAACTCATCCCAGGCTAACCCCCTGATCCTTCCAAAGTCCCCTTTTCTCTGACTTTTCTCTGAGCTGACAGCAGTCTTGCTTGGCTCACTACGGTCACTGTGACTTTTACTTCTCTGTGACTCAGCACAGCCCATAATGGCTCACTTCTTTCCTATAACATTTCTAGTGAGCCAAAACAGAGCTCCACATAGGCTTTCTCCTCCTACTTCTTCTCTCCTCAGCCCTTCTTCTGTTTCAGTGTCCCCAGCTTTAATAAATGCACTCTCGAAATCACCTGGGCTTGTGTTGTGAAATCTTTCCTGCATGAAGTCAAGAACCCACACACTACCAGCTGGCCCAAGGCAGACTCACTCCAGGCCTGGTGCTTTTCCGGCAACATTATAACTGGTGGTCTTCAGATCTGGAAGGACTGGAATTGAATAGTAGGGACTCAAATTGAATAGTAATGACTTCATTTCTGATTTTGTTAGTAATTGCCAGGAATTCATAATTCTGACTCTGGCAAGTTTATTTAATAGAGCCAAGTGTGTGAAAGGGCCTTGCATTGGCATCATGGACTGAATAGTTTAAGAAACTCATAACATTTCACAAAACATTAGCTTGAAGTTGACACTATATAAATAGGTATGGATACCTGACTGAATCAATTAGTTTATCCTTCTTATTCCATTTAAAAATGGCAAAACTTGGTTTAGATAGGCAAGTACTTTGTGACAAGCTGAGTTTAATTAGACCCTTGGGTTGCCAGGGTAGGTAATTCCCCATGAAAAGGGTAATTTCATATAAGATGTGTTAATAGCCTAGTTTCCTGTGACTTATTTTATAGCTGAGCAGTTGAAGGACAAACGGGCTGGATGCACTGATGGTCTTCCAAGGAAAGTGGCAAGCCAAGCAGAGTCTAGTGCCCTAGCTTACAGTCCATGGCTTTCTCTACCACAACACTTGTCACCTAAGTGCTGGAAACTCTTTTAAACCCTTTGTACTATTATTTCACTTGCTCCTTACAACTTTTTCAAAGCTACTCAGCTAGTAAGTAGAGATACTGGAACTCAAAGCTGGACAATCTGGTTCAAGCTCTGATCCTAGTTGAATGAGAATTATATTCTTTACAAAATCATTTTTCTGATATTTTTCTCAACTCAAATGCTCAATGATATTATTAGAATAATGAAGTATCATCATTTAAAATCTGAGGATGGGAGATGTGAAGATGGAGGCTCTTGGCACTTTCATACCTAAGTTTTAACTACCCTTTACAGAAAATCTTTGCCAATCAATTAAATGAGGACCTCAGGTCCTTCAAATCTTAACAGGATCAGTGATTGGAGAAAGTGGGGATATATGTGCCATATCATGAAAAAATAATTTTTAGGATTGCTCAGGAGAAGACCTGTCCTCACCAGGATCATGTTCATGTTGTTGCACAGGTGGGAAAGACAATGGCTCCTGGTGAAAACCAGAGCAGTGGTGTGACAGAGTTCATTCTGGCAGGTGTCCCAAATCTCAACAGCACAAAAGAAGAATTGTTTTCTGTCTTCCTTCTTGTCTATCTGCTGACTCTAACAGGCAATGTGTTGATTGTTGGGGTAGTAGGAGCTGATGCTCGCCTGCAGACTCCCATGTACTTCTTTCTGGGTAACCTGTCCTGCCTAGAGATCCTGCTCACTTCAGTCATCATTCCCAAGATGCTGAGCAATTTTCTCTCAAGGCAACACACCATTTCCTTTGCTGCATGTATTACCCAATTCTATTTCTACTTCTTTCTTGGGGCCTCTGAGTTCTTGCTGCTGGCTGTCATGTCTGTGGATCGCTACCTGGCTATCTGTCACCCTCTGCACTACCCCTTGCTCATGAATGGTACTGTGTGCTTTCGGGTGGCCTTGGCCTGCTGGATGGGAGGACTCCTCCCTGTGCTTGGCCCCACAGTTGCTGTGGCCTTGCTTCCTTTCTGTGAACAAGATGCTGTGGTGCAGCACTTCTTCTGTGACAGTGGGCCACTGCTCCGCTTGGCATGCACCAATACCAAGAAGCTGGAGGAAACAGACTTTGTCCTGGCCTCTCTCGTTATTGTATCCTCACTGATGATTACTGCTGTGTCCTATGGCCACATAGTCCTGGCTGTTTTGCGCATCCCCTCTGCTTCAGGCCGTCAGAAGGCCTTCTCTACCTGTACTTCCCACTTGATGGTGGTGACCCTCTTCTATGGCAGTGCCATTTTTCTCTATGTGCGGCCATCACAGAGTGGCTCTGTGGATACTAATTGGGCAGTGACATTGGTAACAACATTTGTGACACCGCTGCTGAATCCATTCATCTATGCCTTGCGCAATGAGCGAGTCAAGGAAGTGTTGAAGGATATGTTTAGGAAGGTGGTAGCAGGCTTTTGGGAGGATCTTTTACTTGCTAAGAGTTTTAACAAAAAAAATAATGAGGTGAAGGTGAAGGGGTATAATAACTAGTCTTAAGTCCAAATCTTCTCTATTGTCATTCTCTTTCCAATTATCATCATGAACATCCCTAAATGACTGAGTTCTGGGACTATTATGTAACTTCAGAGTCATCAAGTCTATCTTCTTTCAGAAAAAAAATTCCTTGATTTTATCTCATACATAAACCCATATTATTATTGATATATCACAATCAAACCATCGTTATATCATAAGACCCTTCAATCTGTGAGATGCTGGAACTCAAAGCTAGGCAATCTGTTTCAAAATCTTAACCTAAGGGTCCATGGTTACCAGGGAATTATCTAAGGATGGACTCTAGAAAATTATAAGCCACATCGGTATGTATTAAATTTACATATATTTGAGGAATGTAGCTATATGTAACCCTCACCAAAAGTTAAAAACTGATTAAAATTCTCAGCAGAGTCCTCCAATTATTTATGAAAATCAAGAATTAAGCCCTGGCTAGGTAGTTCAGTTGGTTAGAGCATTGTCCCAATATGCCAAGGTTGCAGGTTTGATCCCCCAGTCAGGGCACATACCAGAATCAACCAAAGAATGCATAAATAAGTAGAGCAACAAATCTATGTTTTTCTCTTTCTCTTAGAATATAATAAGTAAAAAAAATCCTTATAATAAAAAACAAATAAAAATAAAAATATATATTATCTGGATATTTTCGTATTCACGTTCCAAAAGATTGTATTTACTGTCAGGTGAAAAAGAGGTAAAAACAATAAGTGACTAATCCACTTCTCCACAGCAATCCAAAGTGCCTTTAGAAAAGCAGTTCAAGGAAAAATTTTATGAATAATAGCATTTAAGGTGTTTTTCTAATTTGTACTTTATTAAAAAGATGGGTTTAAAACATTACTCATTTTATCACTGGATTGTGTTCCTTTGATTTGTCCATCTTTTTATGTTCCTATATCTGTTGTTGTCAATCTTCTTTTGTTTTTAATAAAATTGAGATTGGGTTGAGGACTTTTAATATTAAAGAGTTAAGAATGCCAACTATAGCAACCAACTACCAAAAACCAGACTTTGTGGTACATTTTATCTACCTCATTGGATATTTGAAAGGAAATAGGGAGTTGGTCAAGATGGAGGCATAGGTAAATAGCCTGTCTCTTCACACGACCACAGCAAAAATTACAACTACCGTATTTTGTCATGTATAATGCATTCCAATGCATAATGCACACTCGCATTTTTTGCCCAAACTTTCAGGAAAAAGTATCTTTCATTTTAATTTTTTAAAAGATTTTATTTATTTATTTTTAGAGAGAAGGGAAGGGAGGAAGAAAGAGAGAGAGAAACATCAATGGGTGGTTGCCTCTCAAATGCCTCTACTGGGAACCTGGCCCACAACCCAGTCATGTGTCCTGACTGGGGACTGATCCAGGGACCCTTTGGTTCACAGGCTGACACTCAATCTACTGAGCCACACCAGCCAGGGCCTCACTTTAATTTTTAAGTCAATTTTTATTTATATATAAAGCTGATTATCATATTCCAGGGTATTATTTTGCATATAGATATTATTATTGCTTTCTGGAGTTATACTTTTAAAGCATAAAAATAAAGAATTAAAAACATATATATATGGAATTAGTACTACCCATGTTTAATGCACATCCTTATTTTTTCCTTCAAAAACTTGGGCAAAAAACTACACATTATACACAGCAAAATATGGTAAATCACAAAACAACTATCACCCAGAATTGTCAGAAAATCAAGCTATATGGAAGTCCAATGACCAAGGATTTAAAGAAGTCACATTCATCCAGACAGGAAGGAGGGACCAAAATGTAGAGGCATGGAATGGGTGGTCTCACATCCACGTGTGGTGGGTAAAAATTGGGAGGGATGCCTTAGGAGTGAAGGATCCAAGCCCCACACTAGACCACACAGCCCAGGGTTCCAGTGACAGGAAGATAAGTTCCCATAACTTAAGGCTTTAAAAACCAGTTAGGGTTGGGGCAATAGAAGAAACTGCGAGATTCTCAGGTGTTTCCTTTTAAAGGGCCCACAGTGGATTTAGGACTTATGCAGACTCACTCCCTCTGGGCTCCAGCACTGGGACAGCAGCTGGAAGGGCACAGTGGCATATGTAGAGAAACTGAAGTGTTTGGAATCAGGGAGAGTGCCAAGGGACAGCTTTCTCCTGGACAAAACTCCATAGGCCAAGCAGCAGCATTTGTCCTTTTTATGAACACAACCCTCTCCCACCCCCCACACACAGACACAAAGCAGTGACACCACATCTGAGACTCCATCAACCTGATTCACATAAGTTGCCTTGCCCTGGCAATTACTGAATGCTCTGCCCCATCCAACTTATAGGTGCACTTCTCTATAATAGGCCATGCTACTAAGACAGGGAGTCAAAGCAGCTCTACCTAATACACAGGAACAAACACAGGTAGGCTGCCAAAATGAGGAGACAAAGAAACATGGCCAAAATGAAAGAACAGAAAAAACTAAACTAACATGAAGATAAGCACTCTATCAGATGCAGAATTCAAAACACTGGTTTATTAGGATGCTCAAGGAATTCACTGGGTACTTCAAGAACATAAAAAAGACCCAGCCAGAAATGAAGTTTACACTAAGTAAAATAAAGAAAAATTTACAGAAAATCAATAGTAGAGTAATAAAGCCAAGAATCAAATCAATGATTTGGAACATAAGGAAAGAAAAAAACAATCAGAACAACAAGAATAAAAAAGAATTTAAAAAAAGAATAGGGTAAGAAGCCTCTGGGACAACTTCAAATGTACCAACATTTCAATCATAGGAGGGCTGGAAGAAGAGAAAGAGCAAGAAATTGAAAACTTACTTGAAAAAAATAATGAAAAAAAAATCTTCTGTAAATTGGTAAAGGAAATAGACATACAGCAAGTCCAGGAATCAGAGTCCCAAACAAGATAGACACAAAGAGGACCACACCAAGACACATCATACTTAAAATGCCAAAGTTTAAAGATAGAGAGAATTTTAAAAGCAGCAAGAGAAAACCGGAGAGTTAACCTACACAGGAGTCCCCATAAGACTGTGAGCTCTTTCTCAAAAGAAACTTTGTAGGCAAGAAGGTACTAGCAAGAAGTATTCAAAGTGATGAAAAGCAAGGACCTACAACCTAGATTACTCTATCTAGCAAAACTATCCTTTGGACTTGAAGGACAGATCAAGTGCTTCCCAGTCAAGGTAAAGCTGAAGGAGTTCACCCGCACCAAGCCATTATTATACGAAATATTAAAGGGACTTATTTAAGAAAAAGAAAATAAAAACTATGAACAGTATAATAGCAATAAATTCACAACTCTCAACAATTGAATCTAAAAAACAAATTAAGCAAACAACCAGAACACAAACAGAATCATAGATATGGACATTTTTTGGAGGGTTACAGCTGGGAGGGGGAAGGGAGAGAATAGGAGAAAAGATGCAGGGATTAAAAAGTACAAATTGGTAAGTATAGAATAGACAGTGGGATATTAAGAATGGAGGGGGGTTGCCAGAGGGAATTGGGGGTACTGGGTGGAATAGGGCAACTATAATAGCACAATCAATAAAATTTTTTTAAGAAGTAAAATTCCAACAGAAAAGAACAAAGAGGAAATAGGGATTTCTATTTTGGTACCTTTGGAAATCTTAGATAAATATTTATTCATTTATTCATTTCTTTAACAAAGGTCTATAAGCACATACTCTAATATATGCTAAAGTAAACAGGAAATGGCTCCTAACCTAGAACAGGAATGGGGATTATAAAATGGTTTACAGATGACATTGGAGATCATATGAAAATTGATTTACTATTTCTAGCACTCTATTGTCAGAGAAGTTTCTCCAGAAGCAACATTTCATTAAACAGGAATTAATTCCATGTTACAGTGTGTTTCTATACATGAAGACAGTGTTTTTAAAAATAGTAAGGTATGGACAGCACATTAATCTCAAAAAAGTGCTGCAAAATTGGCAAACTGAGCATTAGCATGCAAAGAGATGGCCATAAAGCTTGAGTGGGCACTAAATCTCACAGGAAATAAAATATTAAAAGTGCTTAGAAAAACTGCACTACAATTGCTGCTAATTGCAAGTACTTGCAGACTCAACTCTGAATGAAGTGACGCTGCAGGTGGCACTGGCACCCGCCGCGCGGCACTGTGGGCAGACCGGGCGCTACGGGGCAGAAGTGTTAACAGCCACAGTGACCTGCGTCACAACTCCATTTTTAAAAATTACTCAATCCGGTCAAATGTGACAACAGTAGAGAACACTGCATTATGCAGCAAGAAACACGTGATACAATCGTGGCAGGTTCTCTTTGTAGAAAGTCTTCCGTCTTAAAATGCTCTTTAGGAAGTCCCAATTCCTTAAGAAAAGGAGAAAAGTGTTAATTCTGTTAGTAATACATACAAACACATGCTAAACATTTCCATTCCATAGGATTTCTGAGTGAGAGCTAAAGGAATGGAAGGAATGATCAGGGATTTGAGAGGGAAGCAAAAATCTTCAGGCATCTAGAAGTGTTGCCCAGAGAGCAGATGATATATTGCTTTAAAAACGACCTAATTTCCTGGAGCATAAAAACTGAAGTCAATCCCAGACAACTGCCAAAGAGGAATGTACATAACAGTTTATAACATTTCTTGAAGGAATCACCCCCGTATTTTGGCAATAAAGCTTGTTGAACCACCTATTGTTTCAAAATTACTTTATTGTTGAAAATGACTATGGACTCAATTTAATTAAATAAAAATGTATTGAATACCATGTTCTAGGAAGTAAACTGTCTTTAACCTTTGCCATTTTAATTATGGTGTGTGAAGACTATTTTCTGATTCCTCTCCTAAACCCAGCGATTTTTCTCCAGACCCCAAAAGCATCAAGGTGTGGACTCGAAGGCACCTAAGCCACAGTGTTCCAGAGCTAGGAATGTTCAGTAAGGGTCTCAAGGCTGCAAGTCTGTCTTGGATCCTCCTGA